ATACTACCTGATTCGAAAAGTATATTGGTTTTGGGCGCTGCCTCGGGCTTAAAAGGATGAACTGGATTTCGTCACAAAGCCAAAAGGCGGAGCCATTTTTTTCAAGACGTATTGGATAGCGGCAACTATTTTATTTTATAAGGGAAAAGTTTTGGTCACTAGCGGGATTCGAACCTGCTACCTCTTCCTAAGAAACGAAGTTGTTCGAATGGGATGTGTCACCTTTTCGCAAATGAACTATTTTGAAAATTTGAAACTGTCAAGCTCCGTAAGGGAGAAATAAAACTTAATAGAGCAAATTAAATAGTTGAGCGTTTTCGTCTTAAGTTAGGCTTAAAGTCTTTGTTTAGCAGCAGGCTGACAAATTTCTATTTCACAGTATTTTAACAACTTTGTTGAAAGTCTTTACTGTTTGAATTTATCTGACAGCTGAGTTCAAAGAGGGAAAAAGCCTCTCCTGGAAGAACTCTCAGTTATTGAGTCTAGGATCCCCTCGATTTTACAAAATTGTTTACCTGCAGAAACTAAAAATCTGCATTTCACCACATGACTAATATGGTTCACATCCAATTGTGAAATAAAGGCTTATATCAATTACATGTTACATTGAATTGTCACTTTTCTGAAAACCAAACAAGAAAACCTAAGCGACACAAGCCAGTTCGTTAAGCATGGAATTTGCAGATGTTATACAAGACAAGAATTTGGTTTTCTATAAAGGCAACTTTAGAACATTTTTTAAAATTTACCTGAAGCAAAATAGGTTCTTTTTTTGCAGTCTTAGGAGAGATCAGAAAATCAAAATCGTCAACAAAAATCAAGCTAAAATTGGATAAATAACATTTTTTTGCCCCTGGTTTTATGGAAAAACAAATAAGAGCTTCGAGCATACATGAATATAGGAAAAAGCCCGAGAGTAATTTAACTGTTCCTGGACAGTTACTTGTTTCTGGTTATTCTGTAGGTCTACTTGTGTGAAAAAAAATTCGGCGCCACGACAAAAAATAACATCGAAAAATCTCCCATGACAAAAAATACCATGCTAGCATATCCCATTTACCGAAATTGCCCATGCTGCCACTTTTAAAAATCACACAAGTTCAAATATTTTTTACTCTGGAGAAAAAATTACTGATCTAGTAGCTCTACCAAGAATGCTTTCAATAGTTTTGTTTTGAGATTTTCAGCATGCAAACATTGACAGAGCTCTTATTTTTTAAATTGTGAACTAAAATCGAGAACTAAAACGTTTAAACTCTCATCAATTTGGGATTATTGAAACTAGAAATTACTTATTCATGCACACTGTAGCACCACTGTCAATTGCAAGCAGAGCCGAACGAAGCGGAGCAAGCGTTCATTGCATGCCAAAGTCACATCTATTTATGAGTTTTTAAAGATTGCCATTTTGGCCATTTTGGCCATTTTGGCCAATTAGGGACAATTAATGCGCGATATATTTCGCGCTATCAACACGGAAAGCGGAGAGTAAATACGTACTAGAAATCGTTCCAAATCGGTTGAAAGAAGCTTATTTGCCATAATTGATGTGTTACTAGTTGCGAAATCTATCACATTGTACTTAATATGGCGCGTGGGCGGATGATTTTCGCAAAAATTTTAAATTAAAAAAAAATATTTTTGTTCCGACTTTCGGTACGAAAGTAACGGAATATTTGTGCTCGGGGTGGGTTTTTTTTCTTCAGACAAAATTTGACTTTTTAACTAGCCATTTTTGACGGAATTTTTTTATATCATTCAAAAGATATTGTTGTCCTGAGCTTAAATTTGAAAAGATATTTCACCTGTGATCATTTTTCGTGGAGTTATGAGGGTTTAAAGATTGCCATTTTGGTCATTTTGAGCAATTTGGGACAATTAACGCGCGATATAATTCGCGCTATTAACGCGTAAGCGGAGATTTAATCCGTCTTATAAATCGTTCCAAATTGGTTGAAAGAAGCTTATTTGCCTTAATTGGTTTGTTACAAGGAGCTAAATCTATCTTTTTGTACTTTATATGGCGTGTGGGGGGATGATTTTCATAAAAAAAACTTCAAATTTTAGAAAAAAAAAGTTTCATTTTATTTTATTTCATTTAATTTTTTTATGCTATTACTGCTGCTCCATAAACCTTAAAAGGCAGTCGGAACATTCAGGGCTTCGCCCTGATACGAGCAGTCTTGTTCTGTTTTACATTTAATTTTTCATGTTACTACTGCTCCCAAAATTTTAAAAGGTAGTCGGAAACCACGAGGCCTCGCCCTGATACGAGCAGTCTTGTTTGTTGCACGATTGAATTTTTTGAGCTCGGCGTGGTTTTCTCATCCAGACAATGTAAACTGTAGTCAAAAACTTCAGCCGTAATATTTTAAACCATCAATTTATGCAGCCTTTAACAAAAAGAATTCAGTTCCAATCAACAAAATAAAAAATTGAAATCGAGCCAATTAGAATTTTTTGCTTGCAGTGTATGAGCTCAAAACTTTTTTTAAAAATAATAGTTGAAAAGTTTTTGAAGCATATTTGCGAAATATTGATATTATCACTGGTTAAGACCCGTTTTCCAGCTTGTGAGTTTTGTACAAGATTCAAAAATAGCCGTTGCTTTGGAAATGGAGTAGAAAGCTACAACATTTTTAGAGCCTTTTTCTGAAGTTTTCTTGTGCAAAGCTTTGGTTCTTTTGGTTAGTAGGTTTGGTAAGCTACTAGAAACTAGGTATAACAATAGCTGGCTTTAAAATGGCAAATTGAGTGGAAAAATAGTCTTTGTTTGTCAATCATCTGATTAAATTATTCTGAAAAGCGGAAGCTTTCAGACCATTTATTCTCGACACTGAGATTTTTGTTTCCTTCTCCTTCTCATTTTAGTTACTTCTTCTCAAAACCCAATTCAGAAGGGCTTCAATACGACAACATAATTAAACCATAAAAGTTTTCTGGAGGAACTTAATATCTCATCAACTCTACGCAATAGTTCGTTTGAATGTCCAGAATGTTCAAAACAAAAAACCATGGAGCCAGTTGCAGTGAAATAAACTCAAAACATCTCCATCACACTTTTCGAAAGTTATTTGTTTTTTTTTCCAATTGTTAGAGATTAGGGACGTTCTAAAGCTCTTTTTTTATAAGTTCCGGGTAGTAAGCACATCTTATGCTCGACTTGTTTTGCAAAAACTGAAAAAAAAAACATCTGAAAAAGGTTTGAAAATTTTTTCTTAATATCATTGTTTTTTTTTGTAGGAAAAGGAAAAACTAATAAAGATGAGAAAAAGATTAATCTCAAAATGAAAATTATCTAAGTGATGTTGAAATTTTGTTAGTTGAATTTCGTACTCGCCAAGATTGCAAAAAATTGAAAAAAAATTGAGAAATAAAATTTTTTTGGAAGTGTGCAATTTGTTCAAACACATATTGAGAGAAACAATTTGGTTTTCCAGTTTTTGGAGCCTGTTTTCAGGTAAAACAAGAAGTTGTGGTGCCAAGTCGATAATATCCTAAATGATTTTTTTTTTCCAGGTTTTTTCCAGACAAAAAAATTTCTACAATTTAACTAGCCTTTCTTGAAGGCAATTTTTAATTATCATTTGAAGGCTATTGATTTCTTGAGCTCAAATATAAAATCATTTCACATGTGATCTTTTTGCAAATTGGGACAATTAACGCGCGATATATTAACACGTGCTAATTACGCGGAAGCGACAAATTATTTTGGCTCAGAATCTGCTTCAAAATAGTTTTAGCTATTTGAATTTATTTTTAAGTTGCAAAAGCGAAATAATTAATTTTGTACTTCACACCTTGTGTGGGGAAAATCTTTTGAAAAATCTGAAAAAATAGCAAAGTTTTATTCGGTTCTTTTCTAGTTCCCCCCATAATGCAATGAAACTTGGCGTGGTGAACAAATCGTCAATTGTGAACAGATTTTGTTCTTCATACTTTACATCGTAACATCACGCATTTAGCCATATTAACACGTGAAACAAAAATAAAACTCGGTATTTTGAAAGGGGGGAAACTGGAAAAGAGCCTTTTATTCTTCTTTTGTTTCCATTATATCAGTTTTTTAATTTTTTTAATAAAAATTTTCCCAGATCTTGAAAGCCAGTCAGAGCATTGAGAGTTTTGCTCTGCTACGAGCAGTCTTGCTTCTCTTCTGGTAAAATGCTTTGGAATAGCCCTCTCGCTGTCGAGAACAATTGCTTCTAAATCTGCCATCGTGTGATTAAAATTGATGCATTTTAAATAGGCACGGGTCTTAGACTTTATCTAGAGGGTAAAAACAACAGTTTTAGTTCAATCAAACTGTTTGGTAAAGCTCACACAAAACTTTTTGAAAATCCTATTTTGAAAAAAAAAAGTTCTGCAGGCGTACTCAAAAAACAGGCAAGAAGCGGCATTCTTAGGCAATTTAGAAGTTTTTGACTACAAAATTCCGTTTTAACTGTGCGCGCTCTTTCCTTAAAAATATTATATTTCAGCGCCAAAAACGCCTTAGGAAAAATATCAAATCAAACATTTTTGCTTTGTGTTAACTAATGTTGGATGTCGTAAATTACTGCCAAAGAAGGGACCCTTAGGGAGGTCAGAGGGCGAACATCTGAGATAAAAAGCGTCTGCCCTTCCCACTCTTAATCCAGCTCTGATTGAATAGATCTCTGATATCAGAGTCGTCAAAAGTTTTATGTCATTAGATTTAATCATACGGAAGTGGAAAAACTCATTTTGGTTGCTCAAACTAAAAAGTTCGAATTCAATTTTTGATACCACTAAAAGAATAGCTCGAGAAAACTTCTGCGAAACGTTTTAATCAACGAGATACAGTATAGGGACAGCCAAAAAATTGAGGTCTGTTCAGATTGGAAATATCAGTTATTTTTCACAAGCAAGAATTATTTTTCTTCTGAGCTTGGGAGTTTTTTTTAAATCTGAATTTAATTTTAACAAAACTGCTCATCGTTTCCATCCTTTCAGAATGTTTATTGGTATTTTTTATTTAGAAAAGCAGTCAACCCAGACGAGGACAAACTTACGCAGTTTTTGGACAATCTGCTGGTGGGGTATGACGGGAGAATTAGACCCAACTTCAACGGTGAGAACAACTGATAGCACTAAAAAGTTTTAGAAAATAGTATTTTATCATCGTTCCGCATCTTCCGAGCTTCTCCTAATGTGCATTTGAAGTTGCTATGTTTACCTAATTGCAATTGTATAAGCGTTGAAAGTAGTGAATCATTTTTAGAGCTAATGCAACAAAAAATCGAAACAACTTCATGTACAGAATACGTATTTACAGTTGGAGCGGACACTGTATATTATTTTTTTTCTAACTCGTGAGCACTATTTATTTTTCTTTGCCCTCGAAAACAAAGAATTCGGTGCCATTTTTTTTCGAGATTTGGTTAATTTAAATTGCGATGTTTAGGAGACCCTGTGGACGTGGAGTTGTCCATCCATGTATTATCTCTCGGCTCAATCGCAGAAACAACAATGGTAACAGAATCTTCTTTCAAATACCGAGAATAACAAAAAACTTTGATCATACAACTCCATGCTATGGAAAACTGCTGGTCATTAAATTCCATGTACTTACAAAATGTATGAGAATGGAGTTGTATGATAAATAGTTTTTTCCCATTTAATGACACAATGAGAAGCATTTTTTTCGTTATAATTTTTTCGCTATAATTTTTTCAATCACTTTTGTTGATTTGAGGCATATAGATATGAGGCCTAACCATAAATGTGTCCTCTTTGAGCAATGGATAACACCAAGAAAACGTTGGGCAATTATTTTTCTTCGTTTCATGTGGTTCACTTCAGTTTAACCTCTTGCTGCTTTACATGCCTTCGCACAATTCAACATATTCACTATAAACACTAACTAACAGTTCACAATTTTATACGGTCAAAAGGAAAATTGAGGGATACAAATATAGAAATATCCCATTAGCATAATTAATATGCAAAATTTTGTTCTCTGGTTGATCCTTGACTTTCATATCCATTAGAACTCCTCCGAACTTTTTCAGATTATTTTGTCGGATCTGAGATCGTGATCCTGTAACTGCTCTGATAAACTTGGAATGTAAATCTTGCATTATTTTTTACTCTTCTGGCCTAGAGCCCAGATTTCACAATCATGAATTATTTAGTAATTCTTCAACGATCAGTTTGGAAAACCAAGTACTGCAAGGTTTTTTAAGCAACAAGAAATTTTGTGTTGTGTTGTTCCGACTTTCGAAGAAAACGAGGAATATATTTGCTCGGGTGGTTTTTTTTATTCAGACCACTTTTACAAAACTCTGATCCCTCGGAGTATTGATATCTTGATCTGCATCGGGCCAGCCGAGCGTGCACACCACTTTAATAAACTGGCATGACGCATGATTCTGTCTAAAATTGCTTGTTTTATTATCTCATTCTTCAAAATTGTTCCAAATTGAATTGAGGCAGCTAATTGGTTTTTTAACTTACATTACGAGGCCAAACTGTGCACTGAATAGGCGCTCAATTTTTTGTCTGTATGTTCCTGGATTCGAGAAAGTAATCTTTAAACATGTTCCAAAATGTAAGTGGTTTCCACTTATTAAATTTCCATGGATTCCGCGTACAAATTACTGTAACGTAATTTTTGTCAGCACATTTATTGTGTCATGGAATCCGCAACAAGTAAATATAACTAGTTGTTCTGGATTCCGCAACTATAATTGGATTCCGCAATTGTAAGTGGAATCCGAAAACTAGAAGTGGAATCCGAACTTTATTTATTACTGATTTTGCATATGAACAATTAAAAGCTAGAGCTGGATTTCTTATCTTTAGCAACCCATTAAAAACGGAATCCACAAACAAACTTTAAAACATTGGTTAACTAAATCGGTGGATGTCATCTTTTAGTATCTGTGATACATATCTCAGAAAACAATTTTTGGGATCATAATTTTGGAAACACAGCACCGAATAAATTCATTATTTTGAGTCATTGGGTTGAGAGTGTTTAGAAAAACGACGCACAGCATGTTGCCAATTTATGTCAGTAATTGGGGTTTCATCGATCCCAAATACTGGTCAGTATTTGGGATTGATGGAATCCCAAATTCTGGAACAATATGGAAAAAATATGGAATAAATTCATTATTTGGAGTCATTGGGTTGGGAGTGTTTAGAAAAACGATGCACAGCATATCGCCAAATTAGGTCAATATATGGGATTCATTCGATCAATCCAAAATACTGAAGGTGGGTCTTTGACAGAAATTGAGATTGAACGCTAGGAACTTCAACAGGTAGCTGATCAATGTAGTAATTTCGTATTGGAGATTGAATTTTTCTCGTTACCACCTAGTATTTAAAAGATATAACTTTATATGCTACTACACATATACACATAACAAAATGCGGATTTCACTTACTTTTGCGGATTCCACTTAAAAGTTGCGGATTCCACAACAGCTCAATTTAACTATAAACATGCCCTTTTATTTGTTCGAAGATTTCACAAATTGTTCTGGATTCTGCAAATATTGTTAAGGATTCCCACACTCGCATGTTTTTGCAGCAATTTTGAACGGTAGAGTCTTTTAGGTATTTGTTTGTCGAATTTAAAACAGCAAAGAAGGTCAAAGAAAAGTAGCAATGTTTTTGGTCTTTTGCGGAATCCACTTGCAATGCACAGAATGTACATTTAGGCCTCGTAATGTTATTTTTAATATTATCAGCATAAAAATTATAGTTTTGCTAAATTTGTTTCAGCAAAAAATTTCCGAGACCAATTAGATGGCCATCGGAATACTCAAGGATTTGCCCTGATATAAGCAGTCTTGTTGATTTATTAAAAGGATTGCAAGAAGAACGAGTATTTTTTGGCATATTTCAGCTGAACCTCGGAGGAAAGAACTGCGTTTTTGGCGACAAAAATGTGTTTTTCGGCAGTAATGTTTTTTCCACTAAGTTAAAACAAATTCGAATTTCTCAAACATCTGTTTCCTTAATGCTCTCTTCTATAATTATGGGTCGGCTCAAAAATGTAAGACAGAAAGTTTCAACTTAACAACCTTATAAAACTAGCCTATAATTCAAAGCATTCAATCCCAAATACTGAAGGTGGGCCTATGACAGAAATTGAGATTGAAAGTTAGGAACTTCAACAGGTAATTGATCAATGTAGTAATTTCGTATTGGAGATTGAATTTTTCTCGTTACCACCTAGTAATTAAAAGATATAACTTTATACGCTACTACATATATACACATAACAAAATGCGGATTCCACTTACAGTTTGCAGATTCCACTTAAAATTTGCGGATTCCACATCAGCTCAGTTTAAATATAAACATGCATTTTTATTTGTTCGAAGATTTCACAAATTGTTCTGGATTCTGCAAATATCGTTAAGGATTTCCCAAACTCGCAAGTTTTTGCAGCAACTTTGAGCGGAAGAGTCTTTTAGGTATTTGTTTGTCGAATTGAAAACAGCAAAGAAGGTCAAAGAAAAGTAGCAATGTTTTTCGTCTTTTGCGGAATCCACTTGCAATGCACAGAATGTACATTTTGGCCTCGTAATGTTATTTTTAAAATTATCAGCATAAAAATCATAGTTTTGCTAAATTTGTTTCAGCAAAAAATATCCGAGACCAATTAGATGGCCTTCGGAATACTCAAGGATTTGCCCTGATATAAGCAGTCTTTTTGATTTATTAAAAGGATTGCAAGCAGAACGAGTATTTTTTGGCATATTTCAGCTAAACCTCGGAGGAAAGAACTGCGTTTTTGGCGACAAAAATGTGTTTTTCGGCAGTAATGTTTTTTCCGCTAAGTTAAAACAAATTTGAATTTCTCAAACATCTGTTTGCTTAATGCTCTCTTCTATATTCAAGGGTCGGCTCAAAAATGTAAGACAGAAAGTTTCAACTTAACAACCTTATAAAACTAGCCTATAATTCAAAGCAACGATAAAATCAAACATTTCAGCCAAAATTTTTAGGTATATCACAAGTTAATTGTAGCATTGTTATATTCACTTGAGAACAGAATGGGTCCCCTTTTAGCGTTTTCGTTTCCAAAATTTGAGAAACTTTTGTTTTCTGCACCGAAATGGTATACTTTTGGCATTTTTTTGGCATTTAGAAGCGAACATCTAAATTTGCAACTGTTGACGAGCAATTTACTAGATCAGAAAATCGAACAAGACTGCTCGTATCAGGGCGAAGCCCTGAAAGTTCCGACTGCCTTTTAAGGTTAATGGAGCAGCAATAACATTAAAAAAATCAAGGAAATAAAACGGCTAGTTAAAAAGGCTAGTTAAGAAGTCGAAATTTGTATGAAGAAAAAAAAATGGTCAAAAATGGCTAGTTAAAAGGTCAAAATTTGTCTGAAGAAAAAACCCCACCCCGAGCACAAATATTCAGTTACTTTTGTATCGAAAGTCGGAACAATTACATAATAATTATTATTTCAAATGCGTTTTCAAAAATCTATAGAAATTTGGCTTTGCAAAAAAAATGAGATAAAGTGGGCAAATCCGAGTCTTTGATTAATGCTGTTAATTAGTTAATGAAACAGTTTTTGTACAATTTCGCTTTAGTCATCTGGTCCGCTCGCTATCGGTTCACTGATAGATCGTTTTAGTGAACTACCAGCTTGTTGAAAATCTTTTGTATCTGTTGTCTTGGGAGAAAATTTAATAGAAATTTCCGCCGCAAAACTTTGCCGAGTATCTGCTACAACATTTAAAAATTTGGAGACTCGTCTTTCGATATAAGCAAGAACTGATTGACTGATCCAGAGTTGCTAGTGTGCCAGAATTGTGCCGATAGGACAGTCTGTTTTTTTTTCATTTAGGTCATACGACAGATTTTTTTCAACTCAACTAAGTTTAGGTTGATAGAATTGCGCAGTTAGTTTTTCCCGTCATACTTTCCTACCATTTGTTTCCAATTACTCGGATCCCAGGTATAAAAAAAAATAAAAAAAATCGTATTCTCAGCAAGACGGCCCGGATCTTTTTCTTGCATCCTCTTCGGCTGATGTCTAGTCAGACCACTTTGCATTTTGATGATCTGGTCTACTCCAGTTTAGACTTAAAGTGATCATTTAAATTAAGCCACTCAAACCAATTATTTTTGTCACCGAAAGCTTCTTTTGATCCGACAGTCAAAAATGGATGTCTTAAAATAGTAGCAAAGTTAACTAACTATTGGGCAGTTAGACATTTGAGCTCTTGAGGGGCTGTCCCTAAGTTCGTTACAGGTTTCTCTGGGACTTCGTGTGAAATTCGACCTCCTCGCTATCTTTAGTACTGCTTCGTTATCCTAATTGGATCAAAAATGCTGAGGGTTTTTGCCAGTATATGCCTATATTTGACGGGAAAAAATTGATATTTTCTCAAAAACAGCTTGTGTTGTAGACAATTCTGGAAAGTTTGTATTTCGGAAAATTTATGATTGGGAGAGTTCATGTGTTCTTGACTTTTTTGAATTTGAGTTTGAAC